ATTTGGCTCATTTCCTTCTCTTACCAATCCCATGGGCACACTTACCATCATTCCTATTTTATAGTTAGGGAAACTGAGGTGCAGGGCAATGTCGACTTGCAGCAGCTCACCCAGCCAGAAAATGCAGTAGCAGGGGTCGGAGCCTGTTAAACAAAGCGTTTGCTGTTGTGTTTAAGACTCAAGCAAACAGTCAGAGTCACTTTTTATTTCACTGCCTTAGGAATATAGTCTAGTGGCTTGTTTATCTTAACATTTCCAGTACACTAACCTCTCATGGAATACAGTGCACCTTGTAGCAAGGCTCGGAAACTTACTATTAAATTTTTCACATCAACTGATAAAATTTTAGATAATTAATTTTCTCACCATGCGTTGTTTCATGGCTTCTGTTATTATCTGAACAACGTTTCAGAGCATTTGAAATGACTAATAGAAGAGGAGACTTTAATATACAAAACAGAAAGTAAAATACTAAATATTATGAACACTACAAACTACTATGGAAGAATTTTTAATTTTTTCAATAAAGTTTTTAATACCTCAATGAACAATGACTTCTGTAAAAGAAAAAGGGAAATGTATTTGCTTTGAAATCTTTTTTTCCCTTTTAACCTTCAATTTTGCAAAATAGTTTGTAGGTGGTTCAGGATTCTTAAAGAAGGAACTCACATTTCTGATGTTATTTTTATTCTGGCTTCAGAAGGGTTTATGTGTTTTTGTTTGATACAGAACATGAACTTGGACAATTTGGCTTTAAAACTTGTGCTTCTAGCCAGTTCTTAATCCTGTCTCTTATAATCATTTATTCATTTAGTGAGTCAACAAATATTTATTGAGTACGTGCTATGTGCCAGGCTTTGTTCTGAGTGTGGGGATTTACCAGTGATGTGGCCTCTGACATTAGAGAGCTCATGTTAGGTTCAGCGAGACAGAGAAAAAGGAGAGAGAGATCCAAGCCAGGCCCCATTTCAGCCAAAAAGCTTTATTCCACTAATGTGGAGGGGGGACTGAGCCAGATCAGTTCCCCTGAACAAAGGAAAGCAGGGGTTTATAAGCCTTTGAGGGTTCTGGCNTGGAGGGGGGACTGAGCCAGATCAGTTCCCCTGAACAAAGGAAAGCAGGGGTTTATAAGCCTTTGAGGGTTCTGGCAGAGTAATGGGCCATTTTGAAATCAGTGGCATGTAAGGTGACAGCTCTTGTCCTCTGCTAACACGTGGTCGGTTAGGGCACAGGCTTCTAATTAGTGTTGTTATTATTATCAGTGCGGAGTGCTCCAGCTGGCTGACTACTGCAGCCCACAGGAAGTTCCTTTGATGATAATGGTGGTGGTTGGTTGTTGGTTGGTCATGTTTACTGCTTCCCAGGAGAGGAATTGCACTGCTCAGTTCCCAGAGCAGAAGAGGGAAAGGGGACGGGGAGAAGCGGGGGAGTTGCTTAACACGGCTGTGCTGGTGTTAAGCTAGCCACGAGGCCTAATAGCTCACATTCTACTGGGGGAGATGGATAATAAACCAGACAAATATGTAATATATGTACATTGATAATAAGAGCTACAAAGAAGCATAAGAGTAAGATTAGGGGGAAGAGAGGCGTGGAGGAAGGTTTGGTGGTGACCGTTTTGATAGAGTGATAGGGAAGGCTGCTAAAGTGGTGACATTTGAGCTGAGACCCAGAGGAAGTGAGAAGGCCAGAGAGGCGTGGAGGAAGGTTTGGTGGTGACCGTTTTGATAGGGTGATAGGGAAGGCTGCTAAAGTGGTGACATTTGAGCTGAGACCCAGAGGAAGTGAGAAGGCAGCCATGTGGACATTTGAGGGAAGAATGTTGCAGGCAGAGGAACCACAAGTGCAAAGGCCCTGGGGTTGATATGGCCGAAGCAGGCGATGATGAGGAAAGAGGTGAGGTGAGGGAGGTAGCTTGTGTATGGTCCTGTAGTCCGTGATTAGGCCTTGCTTTTTTCTTTTACTTTTTTTTTTCTTTTTTGGTGGCTGGCCTGTGGAGGGATCCAAACCCTTGACCTTGATGTTACAAGGTGGCACTCTAACCAAGTGCGCTAACCAGTCAGCCCTTAAGCCTTGCTTTTTTATGCTGAATAAGACAGGAAGACGCTGGAGGATTTTGGGTAGAGCACGGATGTGATCTGACTTAGGTTTTCCTACAAGCCCTTGAGCTGCAGCTGCCTTGTGGAGAATGGACTGTGGGGGCAAAAGGGAAACAGGGAAGGGAGCAGAAACTACCCAGTTGGTTTGTTCTTGAAGGTGGAGTAGGATTGTGACTCTGTCTCTCAGCCTCAGGACAATGATTTATTCAATCTACAGCTCTTTAGAGAGTGCCTAGTGAGTGTCAGACATTGTGCCAGACACTGTGCTGGGCGTTGGGGATGCCGCCATGCACAGGGCACCCAGAGTTCGTGCCATTATGGAGCTTACACCATAGCAGGGAGACACACAATAAATGAATTTAAAAAACCCCAAAGAACAGCTGCTCGTTAATTTATTCAATCCATACTATGGAACTCCAGGCACTGTCCTATGTGCTGGCGATATAGCTGTAATAAAACAGACAAAGTCCCTGCCCTTCTGGCTGTGACATGCTTATAGAAGGAGACAAAGAAACAAGATAATAAGAAAAATGTCTGTTATGTTGGGTGGTGATAAGTTGTGGGAGAAAAATTAATTGGGAAGGGGTGAGACATAAATCCAAACTGTAATTATGTAATTACAAATTGAGGTAAGGGTCAGGAAGGAGACAAAGCAGGTTTCTTCATTAGATCTGGTGGTCAGAGACATCCATTTCTAGAGCAGACGTCATTAGATTCTGCTATTTACAGAATCCCTTGGGAATGGAATGTCTGTGAACAATATAGTTTCCTGGGGCCAACCCCCGAGATGCTGGCTCAGTAGATCTGGGACTTGGAGATTGGTACTTTTCGCAAGATGCTTCTGGATATTTTGGTCTGGAGATGTGGAGGCGAGGGAGTTGAGTGGCTAAGAGCCTAGACTTTGAGGATAACAGCTGTGCAGTGTGTGACTTTGGATGAGTTACTGAAAATGATCCTCGCTTTCCACTTTTATAAAGTGGGGCTGTAACAGTGCCCATCTATCTCATGTGGTCACTGTCAGGGTGAAGTGGGGTAATGCGTGTGAAGTGCTTCGGGCATGCAGTAAGCACTCAGTATGTTTGCATTATTACTGTTATTTTTATGTGAGGAATGCAGGAACTGAGGGCTGGGAAGGGGTAGCTTTGGGCAAAGGACTGAGGAATGAGGAAGAACAGGTATGGGGGGGGGGTTGGAGCCAGGGAAAGTGGTCCCAGCTGTTGTTTACTGAGTGCACACTGAGCACGCCAGGCGCTGCCCCTAAGTGGTTTGGCCATCTCATTTATTTTTCACAGCAGCTCTCTGAAGCAGGTATTAGTTTCTTCACCTTTCGAATGAGTATAATGAGGCTGTGAGAGGTTAAGGAACTTGCCCGTGTTACTGTAGATGGTAAGTGGCGGAGCTGGGATTTGAACCAAGGTGTGTCTAGGCCTGACATCCAGGTCTTTGTCACTGCGTGGTTCAGCCACACCTTACAGTTCTAAGCCCACTCAGTTCCTGTCTTATTGTAGTGGAAAGACAGACATTGGGAGTCAGAAGACCGGCTTTCCAATTCCAGCGCCACCACTTCTTGGCTGTGTGACTTTGGGCAAGTCATTTAACCTCTCTGAGCCTCGTAGAGCCTCCACTTATCAGCAAAATAGAGTTAAGTAGACATTGGGCTGTTAGAGGATCAGCTGATTCCAGGTGCAACCTGCAGAGTAAGGCACAGACCCTGGCCTGGCACGAAATAAGCTCTCAACAATTGTCATTATCTACAATATTATTGTAGATTTTGTTTCCCTGCTGGGTGTAACCTTAGGCACGTTACTTAACCCCTGGGACCTCATTGTCTCCAGAGGGGCGTGGAGAGAGTGCTCAGTAGCCCACTGCCTCACAGAAAAGGGTGGCTGTGGTCATCCATTCTGCCTGCCCTGCTTCTCCTCCAGACATGGCCTGTCACCTCTGCCACCTTCCTACTTACCTGGGGTGATTATTATTATTATTATTAATTATAATAATAATAATTATTATAATAATAATTATTTTACATTTCATTGATTCTGGGAAGCCATTGAGAAGGTGGACCTTTATTTTATTTACCCACTAATCAAATATTTGTCAATTAGGTGGTGACACGCCACCAATTATAAGAGGCATTCCCACTTTAGAGATGTGAAATTATGGAAAAATGTGCATTCCTCAGCGGATGCGAGAGTGACCGAGCGCCCTGATTTCGAGGCGCTGTGACCCGCAGACAGTAGGGAGCCGCCGCCCGGCTCGGGCCGCATTCACCAGTGGCGGCCACAAGGGGGCGGGCGTCGGCGGGCGGGAAGCGGTCCCCGGGGTCCTGCAGCTCGGCCGGCGCAGCGCAGCCTCCGTCCCCTCCGCCCGCAGAAGATGCTCAGGAACCGGCGGAACTCTCTCCGGGAGCTTCTCAACCACGAGAACTTCCTCACCGGGCTCAATCGGGAGCTGATCCGGACCATCCAGGACATGGAGGACAGCACGGCCCTGAACGTGCGCGCAATGCTGCAGCAGCAGGACATCCTCACGGTGAGACCCGTGGCATCCGCCCGCCCTCCTGAGCGCTCGGGCGCCCTCTGGTGCCCTCTCGGCCAGTTGCACGTGCTGCTTCCTCCGTCTGGAACATACGTCTTTTCCACCCTTCATCCCACCCACTTGAGCTTTGGAATGAGACTGAGGTGGGGGCTCGTTCCAGTGCCAGCACGTCCTAGCTGGGAGACTTTAGTTAACCTGGCCTCTTTTTTCGAAGGTTTTTGCTTTGGCAAGGGGGGGGGGGAGTGGGGGGGGGAG